TAGAATAACATGAACTTGATCAGCTGGTCTCTTTCGCTGGCACAAGCACCGATTTTGTTTGGTATGTGTTTTATCTCCCTATAAACACCGTAACCGTATTTAATAAGAAGCAGACCACCATAGGCCAATTAGAGCCAAGCCGGTGTCTGTGGTGTAGCGGTAAGGCGCTTCGCTGTCGCAAGCAGAAGGTCCAAGTTTTATTCCCGAATGAAGAATTTATGAAATAATGCGGTCTTTCTACTGGAATAGTGTATCCCTCTCAGTCAGGTTTATTCCTGACCGGCAAGGCCAAAGCCCATTACCTGAATTGTATAAATTCTGTCGAATTACCCACATATAAATATCCCTCATCTCTTATAGAACCAAGCTAGGTTATGGAGCAGTATGAAAGCTCCCAAAGTAACTGAAGTTCAAGAATGCCTGGCTGGGAATTCGAACCAGGGTCATTAACGTAATAGTTTGGTAAGATATCAAGTGAGCTAACACAAGTACCAACGCATTGAAATCAGTATCCAAATTAATGTGGAGCGAAAACATTAAAATTTTGTCAGCTTCCGTTTTAGAAGAAAAGCCATATCCGGTGGGAGTATAAGAGGCGGCTGGGTTCTTGAAATGACACATTCTATGACTGGTTGATTCTTAAATTAAAAAAGAGCAGAGTAAGTAAATAAGAGAACAGTTAAAAGTGCTTTAAAAAAGAGGGGGTGAAGGAAATGATAGTTGGTTTTTTAAAAATGGGCGTTTTCAACATCAGTTTAAAATTATAAAAGTGTTAATGATTAAAATTTAATTGTTTCCCTGATAGTATTTTACAATACCTCCCCCCACCCCCACCCCCCACCCCCCACCCCCACCCCCCCACCCCCCGAGCGTACAAAAGAGACTTGTGTACTCTCACCATTGTCCGGATCGGATCATCAAAGAGTTAAGCCAACTCGAGGACACACTGGTCTAATCAGTAGCAGCGGACCTGGGTTGAGTGACCTTCATAATTTACCTTGGAAAGCTAAGTATGATGTGCAAACTGCTCGACCTATTTTCATCCACTCCGCCCAGACTATCATAAAGATTGGCTGTCTTGATTGTTTTTTGTTTTTATTTCATTTCATTTCATTTTATTTTATTTGGAATTTTTTTTATTTTTTAAATTAATTTTTTAGGGGGGTGGTGGGGGGGGGGGGGTGAGTATTTTAGTTTGTATCTGGTTTCTTAACGCAACGAACGTGAGTTTGGTTCTCGAATTGAGAAAACTTTAATCAAGTATCCCCATCTTTTTCCTAAAACGCTGTATCTTTCTCAGCCCAGGTGACCCTGATGACCCTGACAGGCAAGGACGAAGCAGCCCGCCTCCTGAAAGATCTTTTGAGTGTTGATGGGGGCGCTAAACTTCTAGAGTTACAGTTTGTTCCTGGTCCTTTATTCGTTTGATATTTTGTTGGCAAAAAGACATGATATGGTGTTAAAATCAAGCAAACGAAATACTAAACAAACAAACAAACAAACAAACAAACAAACAAATAAAAAAACACAAAAATTATAGGCCTTCATGAAACTTTGAAATATTCCACTTGAAATGTAAGCCCAATCAGGTGGGCACGTAAATCTTGAAGGAAAAAAACCGGACGAGGAAAGGCCAATGCTTTCAAACCACGTGGAAACAACGTGTTAACATTTCTCACTACACACCATCCATCAAGATCTTCTCCCAACGTGTGAACGCCAGGGAGGTCCCATTATTGTCAGGGGTGAATTCCCGAAACTGCTTTTGTATCCAGGTCCCCAACACCCGTTCAGCTTGCACTAAATCTAATACCTTTACCCCCCCCCCCCCTTCCCCACCCACGAGCCTTTTGTTTTCCTCTCCAGAGCCGCTAACATTTGTGATGCAGCGTGGTGGAATCAGGCTCTCGTCAATTTTTGGGCATGTGGAGTTATTGGTATCATCTTAAAGCTTGTTCACTTGTCTTTATTTGGTTGAAAAAAAATATCCATTTATCTTGAACACAAGTCGAGATATTTGTGAATGAAGGAGGTGGGGTCACCTGTTTTCAGAGGTAGAATTAGTGAGAAAATGGCCGCCAAAGATTAGTTATTTCCTTAGCTTAAGAGTCCGAGGTAACTAAAAATTAACATTTTTTGTGCCTTTATTCAACGTTTTCAGACAAATCCGCACAGAAATGAGTGCTTTAATGGCCATGAAAGATGTTTAGCCAAAAAACTAAAATTTGATTAAAATTCACAAACTGCGGAAAAAATGCAAGTTTCTTCACTTTGGTTATATTGACGAGAGCCTGAATCCACCACGCTGCATCACATTTACTTTTGTTGTTTTGGAAACATTCCCTATTAAACAATACACGTTTTGGGGTTACATCGGGCCAAGTCTTGCAGCAGAACGCTCGTGACGCATGATGTGAATTTATGCTTGCAGGGAGATGTCACTCTGAAGGTTTTAACGTTCAGCTTGGAAAACTTCTCGAGTGTTGAATCGATAAGGCCCAATTTGTTCTTTGGTTTACGGTTTATCTCTTTTTACTATTGAATTTGCCTTACAGGAACTTTTTTTTAACGAAAAACATAGGCGCATGCAATAAATGTCGAGAACAGGGCTCCAATTGTCGAGTGTATGGATACTTAAAAACAAACTGGGAGGCATTTAATTAAAGAATCCTTTGTATCTGGGACCGGCGTGTGCCTATCTCATGCTGTGTATTCCTGAAAATCCGTCTTAGCATGCTTGCATAGTATTTCGTATCCGCGTGCAAGGCAAGATGCGTGTGTGTATATATGTATGTGTGAGTGTGTGTGTGTGTGTGTGTGTGTGTGTGTGTGTGT